CTCCATTATAGTAGGTACCCCTAGTTAAACCCTAAACCCCAATAAGGTACCCCTAATTATAGGAAACCTTAGCCTCAGTCTCTTCATCTAGGACACTGCAAAGCCGGGGCCCGCGCAGGTTGAGGGTGATGCTCTGCTTGTACTCCAAGGCAACCCATCCTTAATCATACGGGGGGTTAGGGGATATAAGCCAATTTGGGGTGTAGGGTTTAGGGCTTAGGGTTAGTAGGAAATCATATGTCTCATTATTCCCTACTAAGGCCTAGTAAGTGAATGCAGACTTTTTCAAATTTGTGACAGACATGACAAACATGAAGAGCAGCAATAGATAGATCATAACAGCGGTGATGGTACTTGTATCAGCATGAGTGGTAATAGCGGGTCTTACGATACAGAGGTATTTCCGCATAAGGACTGCATAGGGATTTCTTACGTAGAGAAACTCTCTTCGCTAGCTTCTGCTGGGGCCTGCGATAAATGCAGAGCATCAGAACTTGAGATAGCCTATGCACGGCAATCGACGGTGTTTTGGCTACGTCATGTGGTGCAAGATTGCTGCCCTCCACAGTAGCGGGTCATCAGACAAGATAATCGGGCTTGGCTGCTTTCTAACTTATAACTTATAACGTACGCATGATGATAAGCTTGCAAGAGCCTCAATATAATGATGAGATTACAGGAACCCTTAATGTAATTACAGTGTACCCACCTAGACCCTAAACCGCAAACCCCAAACCCCAAACCCTCAACCCTAAACCCCAAACCCTAAACTCTAAACCCCAAATCCTAAACCCTAAACCTTAAGCCCTAAACCCTAAACCTGGCCACAAGGTAGGCTGAAGCTAATTCTGGCTGGTTCAGGCTGCGACGTATGTGGTTGTAGTTGGAAGCCTCGAGGTCGGCGATAGGGACGCACCTCACAGAAATGGGGCGTACATAAGGTTATATGGGCGTTATATAGGGATGTATGGGGTTGATAGGGGTGATATAGTTTAGGGTATGGTATGAACGGGACAGCCACATGAGATAGGAGCTTCCTCGCGAGTAGCACGATGCCTATGCTCCCCCTAGCTTTTCCATCCACAGTGCCAGATCTCAACCAGAAAACTCGGGCTCTCATACGATCTGCATGAGGCACGGCCCGCACTCCGGAAAACCTCCACCTTGCTTGCGGTGCCTTTGTTACTTAGGTGCCATGTCTTCAAAGGCAGTTCTGCAATCACAGCAAGTATGTTCTCAAGATGGTCAATTCCTCTCAGCCCCCCCTGAACAGCTGCAAACAAGTCGTGCCAGACGTCGCGCGTAAAGCAGCGTGTATAAAATATTGCTTTCAATACTTGTTTCCTGAGCGTGCCGGCTCCTGCACGAGAATCTCCAAGTTCAGGGAGCGGGCTTCGTCCACGAAATGCCCGTGATGATCCTCGATTTAAAAGTTTAGTGTTTAATCTAATACAACTTGTCGTAAGGATCAGGAAGACCGTGTGAACAGAAGGAGTAAGAAGAACGGGCTCCAGAAGGACTCCAAGCAGGACTCACATAAGAGGCCAAAGAAGTCAGCAATCCTCGTGTCTGTGTCTTTTGGAACCACCCTTAGACATGTTCAATTGCAAAGCCTCTTGTCTATGACTACGAGTGTCCTTTGCTGACCAGTTCAAGGTCTGCAAAGTGGAGGAGAGCTCCAACAACATGCAAAGGTCTAAGTTCTAAGTTTTGTGGCGGAGGAATTCTGATGATTAGCCCGGCTGGATTCTCACAAAAAAATCGCTTCAGCGAGGGGATCAAGAATCCTAGAAACCCTGGTTCACTAGATCTCAGAACCCCTCTTACCCGCGATGATGATGAGGAGGAAGAGGAAATGCCAAAATGAACCAGATGAGCTGTTGTCCAAACTCCTAGTATCCACCTTACTTAATAGCCCCAATAATAGGAACCTATACTCCCCTATATAACCCTTTTAAGGAGTTGTCGTTGCAAGTGTTTCCTCCTCCTGGCACTATGGGATCCTGGGCCCGCTGAATCCCACTCTCTGTTTAAAGCAAGGACACGATTTGGAAATCTAGGAATACACAGGGATTTAAAAAGTGGATTTTGGGACTCCTGGACCCCAAAAGTAGATAAAATAATAGCCCAAAAAACCAAAAGATAGCCCAAAGGACCGTTATTTTAAATCCTTTTGGGGTTCAAGTCCTTGACAGCGTTGAGAAACTCCCATCTCCCCATTCCAAGCCAGACCCGCCTGGTCACGATACGACTGCGGAACGAAGAAGCGGTGTGCATGATGAAGGACCTGCTGCAGGTTGGGTTTCAGGTTTAGGGTTCAGGGCTTAAGGTTTAGGGTTCAGGGTTTGGGGTTTAGGGTTTGGGGTTGGGGTTTAGGGATATGACCCCAGACAAGGGACAATCAAGTGGATAAAAAGAGAGTGGGAAATTGAATGGAAACAGGGATGATGGAGGGTGTTATAGGGATTGGGGTTTCCCAACACTAGGGGTACTTTCTTGGGGGTCCCCAAAATAACGCAAAATAACGATTGTAGCATTTTGGGGTTTATGTTGGGATCCCTAAACTAGCCTGGGAGCCCCTATGGAAAGGAGTATCGTAGTTGGGTTTTGGGGTTAGGGCTTAGGATTTGGGGTAAGTGACACCCCTTGCACTTTTTCAACCTACCCACCATACCCACTCGGACCCTTTCTCAAAAGGAACTGCCCTTCTTGGCTTTAAAAAGGCTGGACAGCACCGAGTATGCTGGGGTGACCGCGGAGCCCAATTTCTGAACGTGCTCCGGTGCGAAAATTGAACCAGTCCTACTAGACGTCGGAGACCTGAAGCCCTAAAATGAACACGATCCATCTCACGCCACAGAAGATAAGCAATCATCCCAGAAAGCCACAACTTAATCACATACCTGGGTGATCCCGCGCTTCCCGGGTATCTACGAGGAGCATGCGAAGTGAGCCTGACAAACACAACGCAGCACGCTTAAGCGTGATGCTGCAATAAACCCCGGAACCATACAATCCGGAATGAATCTGAGCCATATTTAGCCCATACTAGTCTAGGAAAATACAAGCTCCTCCTTCCAGCGACAAAAGGACTCCACTAGCCTCAAGAGGTAAAAAGGATCCCCAACCAGGATCCAGAAATCCTTTGGCAACTTCCTGCAAAAGTCAGAAGCGCTGGGCTGCGGCAAGCCTTCACTAAATGGTGTTTGCTTACTGGGGTTTCACAGGGAATAAGGGACTATACTATGCAGGGATTATATAGGGATTATACTCCCTTATTCTCTATCAAGCACCAGTACATTTGGGGAATGAGGGCATGGATCCCTCTAGTAATCCCCATATTGGATTTGGCTGTCAAATCTAGTTCCCTTTTTGGGTACCCTACATTTTAGGGTTTAGGGTTTCGGGTTATTGGGGACCCAAAACGGGACCGTAACTTTGATAGCCTACCTGAAGGTGTTCCATGCTAAGCACCAGGGAGTTGCATGGCAGACCACTGTTCCTAACGCTCCACCGCAAACCTTAACTCCTGAAGCTCTGAACCTCAGGCTCTGAAGCAAAGGGATTTTGGGCTTAGGGTACCCGAATCCAAAGTCCTTAGCCCAAAGCCCAATGCAGCAGCCCTACACCCCGAACCTTCTACCGGCCAAGCCTGCTTGCAGTTCTTGTAGGGCTTCACCGATAGCCGGATCTGCTCCTTCCTGGTAGTATCGCCTGGGGCTGTTTTTGCCAATGTAGAAGTATGCGCGGGTTCTCATTGGGGATTACGTAGAACTTCCGCTGAGAAAAACTCGTCTATCCAGACTACTATGGGTTAGGCACGTTCACACGAGCTCAATTTGTTGGGGTGCTGGGTGCAGCGAAGGTTGGGGCGCGCCAACATTCGCCAACCGACCGCCAGAAATGTTCAAAGTTTGGCATCTGCGCCAGATGCTGAATCATGTTCCTTTGCGGATATCTATCAACTCTTTGTACCAAGAGCTTGCGACAGCACCTTGCACCTGATCCTCTTGCTGTACTATAGTGATCAATGATGATGATGCTGTTGATGATGATGATGATGATGGTTGCTCCTCCTCCTCCTCCTACAGACGCCACCCCCACCGCTACCACCACCACTGCCGCCACCACCATCACCATCAGACGGCGGCGCCACGGCCACCACCATGCCCCGCCACGACAATGGCCGCCGCCGCCGCCGCCGCTGCCGCCACCGCCGCCGCCACCGCCACCAACACCACCAAAGGCACCACCACTACAGCGCGCTATAACGATGGCTAGCACTAGCACTGCGCTACATAGTCTGATGCAACCGAACCAGCGCATTCATTGCTAGCATGCATCATATTTCCACTATTACCGAGTTGGTCTTGAAGTTCAGCAGCAGCTCCAACAGCACCATTCCTGAACCACAAGTCCTAAACCCTGAACCCCAACTTCCCATAGTTTGTGTAGCTTTCTCGCATGTTTGTGCTGTTGTGTGCTTGTCTAAGGCCAGTGCCTAAGGGATGCTTCGTGAGGTGAAGGTGGCGAACCTGACCATGCTGGGTTTAGGGATGAGGGGATATCTGAGCCCAATGTTGAATGTGTGGCCCGTGCTACGTAATAGCAATACTAACAATGAAAATAAAGACAATAGTAGTACTCATACTAGTAGTAGTAAGTAAGAACTGATGTAACCAGAGCTACAATACTACCCATCTAAGGCCAGAAGCCGAGTTTGGGAGCCAGGGACAGATGGTGATCTCTCAGCCCTTGTACTGGTGCTCAAGTGGGAATGAATGATATTTTAGAGATCAATTGAAGGACTGTTCTAGGGATCCGCCCACAACTCATACTGTTGATACTAAAAAAACCCTGCATGACTGCATGACCTTACTATACTATAGACTATAGCACCATACTGCACAAAGTATGAGAAACCTGTAGCATCCACTGTAGGTTTTGAGCGCCGCGGATACTAGCGGGTTCTAAAGCATGAAGCCTTCCTGCTTTCCACGAAACTTGCTGTTTTGGTGGACGAGCTCTTCTTGTGGCAGTTGCGCAAGAAGTTGTGAGGTTTGAGGTCGAGGTTTGAAGTCTTCTGGTAGGTACACATATTCGAGAAGAAAGGCTCTATGCGGAGATTGTTATGGCCCCTTTCTTCGCCAAGAAAGATAAGCGGATATGGGATTATGTCAGGATTCTGGGGATCCCCAAGTACTAGGCTAAGTTTCTATGGGAGTGTTTCTGGGGAACCCCCGTGTATGGGAACTGGATTTGGTACACAAACTCCTGGCTTGGAAAGGCTCACCTGTCCGAAGCGAAAAATGTAGTCAGTGTTCCAAGCGACCTGGCAGCAAGATGCGCGGATTTGTCGATGCTAACAGAAGTAACAGGATTGGAGGTTTCTCAGCAGTGTCTCTAAAGGCTTCTTTAAGAATTATCCTCCAGAAGGTCCAGAATTTTCTCGCTTCCACTGCCAACTTGGAGAGAAAAGGGCGGGATTTCGCACACAGGTGCATGGAGAACTACAACTGCCGTGACGGGTTTGGGGTGTGAAGAAAAGGTGGCGGGCACTTTTATGGGGGTACATCTGGTTTCAAAGCGCGGACTGACTCAAATAGTGCTGTCCATCCAGAAGTGAATACTTGGTCTGGGCTCTATGTAGTAGTTTCCATAAACAGGGGACCCCAACACAGAACCCCAAATAAATACCAAGATCCTCATTATGAGAGGGACCCCAAAAAGGTACCCGAGTCTTGGGAACCGCCCCATATTGCAAACCAAGATCCCTGGGCGGAATACGCGCGACCTACTACGAGCTCGATGCTTAGCGCACCCAACGATGGGGGGGTTCGGATTGAGGGTTGGTATTGAGAACTACAAAACAAAAAATGAGGTTTGGTGTAGAACCATGTGCAACTATGGAGAAACTTGTGCTGGAAATCCTTATGGAGCATGCAGTGGAAATCCTTCAGTTGCCCGCCTTATCAGCTAAGGCGCGGCGTGTGCTGGCTACTGAAATGTCACGATAGCTTACGTAGAGCTTTGATGACGGCGTCTTGTGGAGCATTCCTTATATCCCCTTGTCTGAAAAGCCAACTCCTGCTTGAGTACTGCGATGCTGAGCAAGCTGAAATTGTAAGTCTTCTGTTGTAAACGGGTCACTCAGAACGCTTTCATCCAGCACTGCCCGGCAACATCAAGCCGCGCAATTTTCCGAAGGCAGCGATTCAATCATCCAGATCCACAATATCTTGAGGTGTACTGGCCAAATTGCAGGCCCACTGGCTATTCTTTGGACGATGGCATGGCGAAGGAGAAGCTGGGCCATCAGGTGCCGCAGATGTGGACCGTGCCCGCTTCCTCGACCTGCCCCCGCCCCGGTGGCGCTTCCAAGGCCTCCTGCATCAAGGCCTTCACGACCATGGCCGTTTCCTTTGGGTTTCGAACGCGCAGTACGCGAATCGACGGATACCCGTCGCACAACTCTCCAAACTGAGCCTGAATATCCTCTGCAAAAGTCTTCACTCCAACATCACAATCGTCTGACTGCCCTTTATCACCACGCCATTCAGCATCAGTTGCTTCAATGAGAAGCAGTCGCCCAATGTAGCCTTCAGCATCCTTCAATCTGCAAAGTTGCGAGCTTAAGCGTCCATCTGCTTGAGAAACGAACAAATCTTGAAAAGTCTTCCTTTCGATCAGAAAGCGACCCTACCATCTTCCACAACTTCAAAGTCAAGGTGATGGTCTGGGTAAGCGCGGTCGAAGGAATTGTCTGGCAAGAAATCCCGCATCTGTTGTCGCAACGCCTGCGTGTGTTGCTCTCTCCAACACATCCTCAACAGGATGGAGCGACCCCGACCTTGCAGCAAAGCGGCGTATCTCAAAGCGAGGTGCCCTTGGGCTTGGGGACCCTGTAGAAGGTTTTCTGGGAACTACAGGGGGTTCTGGGGAACCTTCTACAAAAAAAGCCCGTGATTATACGAGACGTTGTAACTTTGCATTCGGGATGCAGCAAAACTGCAACTCAATCTACAGTCCCAAAACGCTGGATGAGCAAATCTTATGCAGCTGCGATTGCATTAGGATGCCAGCGTGCCAAGAACCTAGCAGAGTAAGGCATCAGGCACGTATAACGTATCAGTCTGAGTTGTCTTGGCTCAACTTGGAGCATGTTGACTCTGTGAAGAAAGCATGCTGGCAGGAAAGTCAGAAGCTGAAAATCAAAAGGCAAAAGGCGAGGCCTGAATCACAAGGCTCCATCAGAGGGCTGATATGCCAAGATAATACATAACACAC